AAAATTTTAAATCACTTAATGGGACAAATTAATCAAATTTTCAAAATTATTGATTTTTAATTTACAAAATAAATTAAAAAAAGCTATTGACTGATTTATTTATTTAATAACAAAAATATTTCATAATCTCTCCCTCCTAATCTCTCTCACAAATTTTCAAAAAAAAAATATTAAAACTTGCATTCATTTTCTCTTCCCCAAAAAATCAGATAATATTTTCTTTTAAAGTTGTAGATATCTACCTATATTTTATATATTACATTATAACATAACCAAAAAAACTAAAAAACTAAAAAAAAAAATCTTTAAAGTTTATCTAAATAAACTTTAAATCATTAAAACTTACATGTCTATCACATATCTAACTCACATCATAACTTACCTAAATAATAATAATTAAAAATAAATGAAAATCACAGATAAATTAAATTTTAAAAAAAAAGATACCCACAACTCCATCTTAAATAAATTGAAAAAAAAATACCCGAATAGAAACCACACACAAAAAAAAAAAAAAAAAAAGATATATCTATCTATCTATCTATATATTAAGCAAAATAGAGTTTTTAACTCCCAAGACCTATGGGAGTTTTGAACCCCTATAATATCTATCTATCTATCTATCTATCTATACTATATATTAAGCAAAATGGGGTTTTGAACCCCAAGGTCTGTGGGAGTTTCAATATCCCAATCAGAATTTTCTAAATTTTTTATTTAAAAAAAAAACTCAGCATTTATTGATTTGGTCAAAATCTCCTTATCAGCATTTATTAACTTTTTTCAATCCACATGTCTTTCCACATGCCTGCATTTATTGATTTGGTCAAAATCCTCTAATCAACATTTAAAATCCCCTCATATAAATAATTATAGATACAATCTGTGTATAGTTACTGCAATACATTTTTCAACTTCTCTCATACACTATGGTTAATGATAAGATTGTTAAATTATTTTTATAAAAAATCTTTAAAAACATAATTTATATATTAAAAAAAATCTAAAACAAATATAAATATCTATAATTATCTCGTGCATAGGACGAGTGATAGGCTAGTTATATATATATTTCAATATTTTAATATGAAATTTATAACCTCAATGTCCATATACAAAATAGTGACAAAGGGTAAAAAATTCCTTTAGCCTTCTAAATGACAAAATCAAAGTCTAAAATCCTGACAAAATCAAAGTCTAAAAATCTGAAATACCATACAACAATCAAACAGAAAATTACTCATGTCTACAATACTTCTAAATGGAACATTGCTAACAAAACTAATTAATGATGCCTACTTAATTAATAATACATTTCTTGCAATACATCCAAGCTCTCTAATAAAATTATGTGAACAAAGTTGAGAACTACCTGAAACTGCCAAGTGAATCTTGAAAGATAAATAACTCAAGTATTGAAATAGTCTATTATCTCATACTCTTAGCACTTGCAGCACATTCAAGCTCACTGTGCCAAAATAGAGATCTCATGTCTTGAGCAATTTGATTACATGCCTGACACTTATTTTCTATATTTAAGCAAGTATAGCGATCCCGGGTTTACCCTTGTCGTACAGTGATCCGGACATGTGTCCGTGGATGTTAGTAGTTGATCATTACCTTGTGTACATCATTTCTTACTTTGTATTTGAGTTATAGGATGTGTAGGGCAGGTTTGTTATAGGTTGGTTGAGATTAGAAACTAAAACTAGTTGCCCAGATTTTGACCTGTCCGCTCGAGCGGGGGTTTTGGCGCTCGAGCGGGAGTTTCACCCATCCAGTATTTCCTGTGCAGTGTTCGACGCTCGAGCGTGGGATTGGCCGCTCGAGCGGGTTTGTGTGAGTGACGCTCGAGCGAGGAGTTGGAAGCTCGAGCGGGAGACCTGTCTGTAAAAGTTTTGGGAGTGTGTATCCGGAGATCGAGCGGGGGATTGGCCGCTCGAGCGGGAGTCTGTGAGTGACGCTCGAGCAGGGCGTTGGACGCTCGAGCGGGGCGACTGGGTTAAAGCTCCGTGTTTTGACTTTTCAAATCAATTTTTCACTTTCTCTTCTCGCTCATACTTTTCCAAAAACACCATTGTTGAGCCTCTCACTCTAGAACTCTACCTTCTCTCTAGGTTTTGATCTAGTAGGAGTGATTTGCTCATCTTTGGCCTTTACAAAAAGGTTGTTGATCGTCGAGGGCTACCTTTTAATCTGAAAATTTCGGGATTTGGAGCATGTTGGGTTTTGTCATCTTCTCCCTTGGGGCTCCGGATTTGAGGTAGGGATATCCTACTCCTCTCTATGGATTTTGTCTTTAGATTTTAGTATTTTGAGATGTTGGGGTTGGTTTGGTAGTTTTGTGAAAATTTGGGGCTTTTGTGTGATTTTACAAAAGTTGGAGTTTTATTTATAATAAACCTAGATGCATGTTTGGCATAGAGAAATGGAATAAATGTTGAATCATTGATGAAAATGGGACCTTAAGGGTTGTAATGTTAATTATGGAGAATGTCCTAATTACATTGTTTGATTAATTGGGTTAATTAATCGTGAGAAATGAGGTTATGAAATAGAAATGTTGAGATTGGGAATACATGGGATTAAAGGGTGTAGTTGGATCTCATGCCACTCACCTAGTTGAAAATGTCGATTTTATGTCCATTTGTTGCATTTATTTACTGTATAGAAATAACTGCTTTGGGCTATCGGTGAAGGATAGTCGTGATTGTTGTAGACAATGCATGATGATTAGGCAAACGGAAACTAATCACTGGAATGAGTCATTGATTATGATTGATTGAAAGAACACGTTAAATTTATGTGTTGCGTGATGATGTGTATAATTATTGTTTATATGCATTGTGTTGTGTTTGAGGAGATAGGGGATGTACTCCACGGTTTAGGGGAAGATAGGGGATGGACCTCTAAACCGGATGTTGTTGGGAGGAGATAGGGGATGGACTCCGTAGATAGAGCTCATATGCTTATCTAGTACTGTGTTGACAGAGCTCATATGCTTGTCATTGGAAGTGTGATAGTGCTCATATGCATATCTGTGGAAGTAATGATATAGCTTGTATGCTTATCTGTTGTTGTGTGATATAGCTAGTATGCTTATCTATTATGAAATGGGAAGTGTTTGATATGAGTTACTGTCTCATATGAGTTGTTTGGCCAGGTTCTGAGCCATGGTTGTAAATTGAGAATTGAAAAGAATTGGAAAATGGACTGTAATATGGACTTGTATGTCATGAAACCGTAGAATGTGATAAGGGAAAATATCTGTAATGGCCATCTATCAACTGCTAATCTCTTAGTCATTGTTCATATTTGGTTTAGTGTATTTCTACTGAGCTGTGGCTCACCTTATATCGGAATATCATTTTCAGGTACAGGTAGCATGCCACCTCCAAGGTCATAGCTTGGGAGGCTAGAGGTGGACAGATTTTTTGTTGTTTAAGTTCCTTTTTGATGTGTTACATGTATATTCAAGCCGAGGGCTTAAGGTGTAGATGAGTTAGTACTCTTTTGTTGTAACCAAGTGTTAACTTGGAAAGCTGTAAGCCCGTAGGGCATTTTGCTTTTGTTGTTAACATGTAATACTTTTATAATGAAACTTTGATGAATAGAAGATTGTGGATATTTCATATGTCAATGAATGTTTTATTTGATGGGTTTGATGTTATTATTTTGAGGGCGTTACAACTTGGTATCAGAGCGTACCGGGTTCGAATACTTTGGGTACGTGGGAAGTGATTAGGATCACAATGGGTTTGTCTCGCTTGATAGAGACTTAGATGTAGTGTCATATGTTATGTGCTTAATTGATAACATGCTTATGTGACTATGTGGGTATGGGATTTAGTTTCTAGGATGTTGATTGGATCCTTGGGTTTCTGTGAGTCTTGTTGGAAAGGCACTTGATCAATGCCGTTTCTAACTGGAACTCTAGTAACGCCTCGGGACTATCATTATCCGGAAATGAAATTCGTAAGTTCTTATATGTTTATGTTCTTACGTGGAGTGAATTACAGTTGTCCATGCATTAGGACGTGAGTGTTTAGTTTTGGCACATTGTGAATGTGCTAATGTTCTGTATTACCTTTATTAGGATGTCAGGACGAGGAAGAGGCGCTAGGCGTGGTAGGCCTGCGAGGCAGGAAGTACCTTTACCGGATGAGATTCCGGCAGTGCATGAGGGAGTTGGCCAGGCCAATGTGGCCGAGCCAGCGGGTCAATAGGCTATGAGTGCCTTGGCACGAGAGATAGCAGGAGCTTTGGGTATTCTCAGGGCTGGGAATCAGGCAGCTGAGGCAGGACCTTCTTTCTTGAAGAGGGAGTTTTTTCGGTCTAATCCGGATGAGTTTATCGGGGACCCGAAGGAGCCGCTGAAGGCTAATGAGTGGCTAGAGCAAATGAGTAAGACGTTCGAGATGCTTGGCATCGAGGACGGAGCACTGAAAGTGACCTTGGCATCCTTCCAACTGAAGGGAGATGCGGGTCAATGGTGGAAGTACGAGAAGGCTCGTGTTGGTGGTGCATGAGAGGCATTTGTGAATGCTTTCCAGGAGAGGTTTTTGTCTGCAGCAGCTAGGGAGAAGTTGAAGGATCAGTTTAGCCGGCTTAATCAGCAGGGTATGTCTGTGGCAGAGTTTGAGGCCACTTTCACTAGTTTGTCCAGGTTTGCACCTGAGTTGGTGGCGTCTGAAGAACGCCGTTGCTATGAGTTTGAGCGGAAGTTAAGGCGGGGCCTCAAGCTGAGAGTTGGTGGGTCTTACATCCGAGAGTATAGACATTTAGTGGATGCTGCAGCTCATATGGAGCTCATGATGCAGGAGGAGGATGAGGGACAGAGAGGCTCCAAGAGGAGCCAAGATGGTCAGGGTGATGGCAGGAGACAGAGGGGTTCTAACCCTCAACAGTTTCAGGGAGGAGTTGCTAGATTGACCTTTCCGGTGCCGAGTTGCTAGATAAACCTAATAAAAGTAACATAATAACAAAATTTATTAGATTGATGTAATTGAGAGTTAATTAACATTGAAAAGAGATAACCAATTCAAAACCATCTCCTATATGTGACCAATAGACATTTTAGCTTAAGTGACATTGTCATATAAAATTGTCTCGCTTTAGAACTATGTTCACCAACACTCCCTCCATGGACTTGACGCATCCTTCATCTTAGTTATGTCCATTGTCATGTGAGAAAACAAACAATAAACTCCACTACTCTAACTGCAAAAGGGCCAACAAATTAGATTAAAATAAATTTTCTAATAATTAAGAAATTACCAAACAATAAATTATATAATCTAGTGTGTTTCTTAACAAAAACGAATGGAATTAAAGTGTAATACCCACGACTTACACATGTCAAAATAGACAACAAAAGATAACATTCATTTGAATATTTTATCAAGTTTGGAATTGCATTCCTACTTTCTTTTAATGCTGACGTTGTGTTTGGATCATGAATAGGGATTTGGAAAGGGAAAGAAAAATAGAGAAATAATTTAGTTTATATTCCATTCACATTTTACTAATTCTTTTACTCTTTCTCTTCATAATCCTATCAAAATCCACGATCCAAACACACCTACGAATATTATACAACACATCCGTAACATAGACATTTTCATAAATATGTCTTTTAAAAAAAAAATAATCATAACTATGTCAATCTCAAGTAATGTTCCTAGGGGAAAAAAATAAAATAATAAAATAAAATAAAAAGAAAGAAAAAAGTCATATTAGCACCTCCACAATTCAATCCCATGGGAAATTGAAGTGCCAAAAAATTATTATTGAATAGTATTTATTAAGATATAAAGCTCATAGGCATGGCTACTAATATAAGTTTTTTTAAAAAATTACAAAAAAAAAAGAAGCAAAAAATCATATGCATAATGCTTCCTTTTGGAATTATACCACCGAAATATTTACTAACCCAAGAAAGACAAATTTAGTGATGCACTTTTTGTTAAATGTTAAAGTGGCAGATAACATCAAATTTTAATGCTAAGAATATAATTGAAACTACCTAGTAGAATATTCAGGTAATTTCTAGATAATTAATGTAAGCAAATTCTTGAACCCAAACAAATATTAGCTAAACACGCGTACATGTTCCCCAAAGAGATACAGATAGAAAAAAAAAGTGAGAGAAACAAATATCAATCAATTGAAGAAAAACCTTCCTAACATAATTCAAATTAATCTCATTCCCAACCAAAAATCCACATGATCAAAGTAATTAGAAAGTTTTGTAGTAATATCTAAAAGTTCTCTTTGTTTTGGGAAGAAAGTTGGGAATGAATTTAACCAATAACAAAAATGTACATGATCAAGGTTTTCCTGCTATATACAAATCACAAAGAAAAACAAACAAATCACAGAGAAAAATAGAGTGAAATAGTGGGTTGTGCTCCAACCTGTAACAAAACTTCAAGAGGGCTCAAACCTTACACCTCTTTGGACATAGATCATCCTTGAAACCCTCAAGACAATATCAGACATCCAATTGAAATCATTAATAAAAGACAATAATTTGTGACTTAAGAGAAAGCCAGAGGCCCAATCGAAACTTCATGTTGTATGTATCAGAGACCTAATCAATCCTTAGCTGTAAGTGGCCTAATTGATACCCAAAGTATGATAATTGTAAGAAAAGATTAAACCATTGCTTCAAAATTTATCCAACTTTTTAACTCAATAGCAAGCATGATTGATGATTAATCCGTAGACTTGTAGAGTCAAGGAAGACAACCAACCAAAAAAAAAGTTAGACAATCAGAATGAACAACCATTGCTTAAATAAGAATACAAATCAGATACTTACCTCAATGTTTGGATGCGATAGGTTTTGAAAAAGTTTTACTTCTTCCTCATGCTTTCTAATGTGAGCCTATTAAGCAAATTAAAAACAAAAAACAAAAATGGAAATGCAATTAAGTCAAACAAATAAAATAGTTTTGCCAATCAACCAATCCAAATATATACATAGTTATTTAGTACACCACAAAGGCAAACCTTCAAATACAAATTGTAAGAATCCATAACATAAATGTAATAAAGCAATTAAACCTGTGTTTTCTCTTCTTGAAGAACTATTGACTGTAATTGTAACCTTCATTCAGACATATACCAATGACAACAAAACAAATGCTATGTATAACAAATTACTTAACTTGCTTGATGGCTATGTATAACAAAATAAATGGTATGTATAATAAATTACTAAACAAATGCTATGTAAAACAAACTAATAATAATAGCAAAATTACTAACTTGCCTGATGGCTGGAAGCTCTCTATAATCCAGCCAAATACATTGCAGGGTGTGGCTGCTTTAATAAGAATTTAATTCTCGATTTGTAAATGTTGGAGCCAATCGGTGTTATTCTAATTAACGACATGAATAAAAATTAGAATTTAGGAATAATTATTGAAAAATGTTTACACAAATGTAGAGATAGAATAAGAAAGAGACCATAGATTGTGATGAAGGATACCCATTGAATTGTGGTCTCGAAATTGCTTTAAGTGCTTTAGTCGTCCATCAGCACTTTGTATCAAGTCTCAATTGTTGTTTTGCAATCACCACAAACCCATGGTGAAGACTGTGACGGTTGAGACTTTAGAATGGGCTATAATGACTACATCGAAGAGAAAGCTGAAGTGGTCTCAAACCCATGGTGAGGAGGTGAAAACAATGAGGAAGATGAGAGGAATGAGCTGAAATAACAACATTAAACCTACAATGGAAGCCAAGCACCCTATTACCAACAAATATTGCAAAAAATAAAAAACAAAACTAATGTTTAGCATCAAACAAAACGAAACAAAACTAAAGTATAGTTGTAATAACCCCAACCCAAGGTTAACGTTAATCCATGATTTAATATGCTTAATAAGTTATTAAGATCAGATTTTGAATTAATTCCATATGTGTTGCATTATTTGTATTTTTATTTGTTCATCGTTGTAGACCCGACTTCCTTTGCGCGCCCCGCTTTCGGAGAGGGCGCGAATTGGTCTTACTATAGTTCAGACTCCTGTCACGGTTCTAAATCTAATCTCACAAACTGCAATGTGAGACTGATAAACACCAAAGAGTCCAAATCCGGCAAATCGTTTTGAAAAATCAATTTTGAATAAAAAGCGCCAAACATGGATTGCTTTGCCAGATTACAGAGTCGCCACCTAAATATTTTATTTTTAGGAAATTTAGGAAACCCTGACTCGTGCCAAAAGCCACGTGTTCGTCATCACCAAAGTTGCCTCGACTCGGGAACTTGAGTACGAGAGGGGAAGGTCCTGAAATGAGCACCCCCTCGCCCGATCAAAGATCGACCTCTACTACCATGATATGTTATTTTATAAACCTCATGTGTTCTTATTTTGATTATTAGCTAACTTTACTATGTGGCGCACACATACAAGTATAGACTAAATCGCAAGAATTGGAACAAATCGACTCATGTTTGTTTTCGAAAATAGTTTGAAAGTGCTACTCGCAAGTAGGCTAAAGTGCGGATTTGCCACCCTCAAGTGGGCTTAAAAAACATGATTTTGCCACTTCGCAAAGTGGGCTTAAAACTCGCATTTATTGAATTGTCCCAATTCAGGCAACAAAGCCTTCACCCACAGGCATTCAAGCAGTTAAGCACTTAAGCAAATAGCCTCATGGCAAGCATGCTAAACATGGCAACACTTACACTCATGCAAGTATGCTAAAGCGTAACACTTACAGTGTACTCCAAGCCAAAACAAAAGCTAGTTAGAAATATGCGTGATCTTAACTATACAGAATGCCTAATGCAACACATGCAATAATGCAAATAAAAGGCTCGGCTATCTAAGATGGCATATGAATGTGACAATTGAGACACGTATTCAAAGAGGTATATTGAAATATAATGCAGTTCGAATGATGTGCCGAGCCCGGTGCATGTAATACAAATGAATGATGCAAACATGCAAAGCATAATGTATGCTAATTGAAAAAAAAAATGCCCTAAAACTAACCATCGAAAGCGGTTAAGTAAAAGGGAGAAAGAAGTGGGGTTAGAAGACATGCACACACATGCGCACCCTTATTACAACAATATGCCCTCTCGTAGGAGGGTCTGAATGAATCAGTTAAGCTAAGCTAATTATTACAACCTAACTAATTAACTATTCTTAACTAATTAATTACAACACATTGAAATTGGATAACTAGCTACGCTAAGCTAATTAAGATATTACAAAACAATTAAATTAGCTAAGCACATTAACTAATTAATTATAAAATCGGTAAATTAACTAGCTAAGTAAAGCAGTAAAATGGCCTCGAGAGGGAGGGAGACATGCATGCTCGGTTTGTTTCGCCCGAAAATGCATTGTCTTGCCATAAGTTGCCTCTGTTTGCACTCGTGGTGATCTCAGAACATCATATGAACTTCCAGATTGCATCTGCCCCAACACAGGAACACTTTGGACAATTTTCCCTGCAGGTGGCCGGCCGGCCATCTCAACTGGTCGGTACGCTACCTCAACTGCCTGGCCGGCCAATGCAAGTGGTCGGTCAGTTGCTGTAAGTGGCCAGCCAGTCACCTCTCTTTCCAGAATTTTGCCTTTGCTGCAACAGAGAGCAACAGAGCCAAGACAATGTAGTTGGCAAGAAATGTGTGTATTACCATCGTCCTCATCATGTCTCCAGCTCAAAGAAGTGTGGTACTTGGCTCTCAAGCCACTAATCAAGAATCTCAATGCATGACGGCCGAAGAACCAAGCTTGTACAAGCTTAGTGAATGCGCACATAAGACTCAAAGTGCCTCCACCCCATCATGCATGATCAAGGGTGTTGGCGAGCAAGAAATGCGACATGTTTTTATCACTTTGAGTATGAAACGTCTCACATTTCTTGTGTTTGGATTAACGTCCGATCCAAACACATGCAATGCCTCACATATGCTTATCTTATACAAGTTTTACTTGGTTCAATTCTTGTTTACACATTTTAGCTTACCAATTAGTCCATTAACCGGTTAAGTTCAACGTGAAAGGTCCTCTAATTGGAAAGATGGCCTAAGCCACAAGTGCCTTGAACATAAAAGAGGTTCAATGTTGTTGATTAGTATAAACCCTCAAGGAAGGATTAAAACCACTAGGCATGCGAATCTCAATTCCATATTCAAGCCATCAAGGGGCTTAAGACCACTTTCAAAATGAATGAAAGATTAAAACAATGGAGTGCAATGACACACATTTCAGCACTGAAATAACATACAAAATGACTTAAATTATGCAAACAATCCATGTAATGCATGTTTAAAAGCTTAACTCCTTAAGCTAATGAAAGAGGTTGTACCACAACCTTGCAACACAAGCCTCAAAGGGCCAAACCAACTCAAAACAGAGTTAAAACATGCCAAAACAAAGGCTAAATCATGCTGAGATTGAAGCTTAAAAGGCAAGAAAATCATGCACACAAATTGGCTCTCAAGCAAGGCATAGGGCACAGTTCTCAAAAGCATTTAAAGAGTGATATATTTGAGAGTGCGATAGCGGAATATGCTCTGAAATCACATGCTAAATGATGTCATATCATGCAAATAACTCAAATAAAGCATGTCAAAAGGCCTAAAGCACGAAACTAGTGAAGCTAACTACACCATAGCTATACAAAGCAAGTCTCAAGGGACCAAGACCACTCAAAACAGAGCTTAAACATGTCAAAGAAAGGCCAAAAACATACTGGAATGGAGCCAACGCATGCTAGAATAATAGGCTACAACATCAAGTAAGCTAGGCTAGCAAGCATGATTACACTACAAGTGTAAGAAGCAAGCAAGATGTGCTCCAACCAGCCCAAAGCAGAGTTATAACATGTTAAGATAAGGCCAAAAACATGCTCAACTACTAGGCCAATAATACATGCAAACAAGATATGAGGAGAGGGGACCACCCCCCCTCCATTTTGGCCCTCAAAACCAACTTTTTACCACTGAAAAACCTCTGAGTTTCAGTGCTAGAAAGGCCAAAAAAGAATTGTTTTAAAAGCTTTAAAGGATGGCACAAAGCTTAGCAAATAAAGCTACAGGGAGAGTGGATCACCCCTAACTCCAAAAAGGCCTCAAGCAACTATTTTTAACACTTAAAAATAGAAGTTTTTGTAATTGACAACTAGGCCAAAACAACATGCAAAGGTGGTCCAAACTAGTATACAAAAACAAGCTTAAGAGGGGTAAATGCTTACCCTTGAAGCATAGCAGCTAAACAAGCAACTTCTGAGCCAAATCAGCTTTTTGAGCTCCAAACAAGCCTTCAAGAACCTCAGCTCCAAGGTGGTGGTGTTTGGCTAAAGGTCTCTTTGCAAATATATGAAGAAAACTCATTTCTAAGCACAATATAGCACAATATATATATATATAGATAGATAGATAGAGAGAGAGAGAGAGAGAGAGAGAGAGAACAATTTCAGTTCTGAAATTTTGTAACCCTGAAATAGGGTGAGGAAGCTCTCCTTGTATAGAACAAGCAAGCAAAAAGCTTGCTTCATCCCTCCATACACATGTATGGAGGATGAGCCTTAGTGAGCAACAACTGGCTCAAAAGATCTAAAAATATCTAAAAAATGAGAAAATTGGTCGTCGGCCACTTAAGGTGGCCGGCCGACCGGCCAGCTCTCCTAGCCGACCGACCACTTCAAGTGGCCTACAAGGGAGAAAAGTGGCCGACAAGGCCTTCCCCTCCCCCAGGCAAGAGGGATCAAGGTTTGGCCCAAAAACAAGGCCAAAACACAAAGTTTTAAGAGGCTCAAAGACAAGGCACTCAACCGAGACCTTCGGGCGGTCAAAACAAGCACAAACATGCGCGATCATCGAGTGCACAAACGATGATGTCTGAGTCTTAAGGTCGATTAAAAATGGGGTGTTTACAATCGTAGACATATCTATTTGAATTTCTATTTTGTTCTGTAAATCGAAGGCGTTATCGGCATCCGATCGCAAAATTGACTTAAATTATGTGTTAGTTAGAATTTTTAGAATTTTATAGTATGTTCAATTGAAATTCGATTTGGTACTAAATAATTAGAATAAATGATCTCACTTAATTGTTCTTAATTTAACTTAATTAATTTTCCTAAGTCCACATAAAGCCACCACCACCATTTTGTATATATTTTACACTTTCTTTCCTTACCCTTTGAGCTAAAAAACGTAGAGAGTGAGAGAGAGGGTGAGAATTGTGATCAAACAAAAGAAATACTGGAAAGTGAAAGGAATTAGCTTTTGGTTTAAAGGTTTGGTATGGGACTTTAGTGAATCCACTGTTTGGAGCTAGATTGGAGAACTAAGGTAAGAATTCAACCCTTTGGTTATGTATTTAAGAGGACTAATGTAAGAATTCAAAAGAATATAAAGATTCAAGTCATTATTTAAGCTAAAGAAGATGAATATAGAAAGAATTCAACCATGCATGCATAATTCACTAAGATTTGTAAGTTGTTACTCAAGAACTTCCACATGCATGCCCATATTTTGGTATTGGTCAAGGACTTCATCATGATTATGACCTAAGTGTTCCATTTGATCATGTTTTGGGAGCTATGAACTCAAATGAGTACATGCATGTTATGTTCACCTCACGTTCTCACATTTCAAATTGAATTTTTGAACAATTGACATACTTTTGGACTTTGATTTCATGAAATGATCTTTGATTCTCAATATTTTTAAAGTTTAGACAAGTTTTCTTGAGTTTTGGCCCAAAAGAATATGATTTGTGGTTTTGAATTTGGGCTTTGAAGTTTAAAGGTAGTTCTGGAAATTCCAAAATTCACACCGTCCGCTCGAGCGAGAAAAGTGTTGCTTGAGCGTGAAAATTGAGTTCTCAAAATTTTTTCGAAATTTTGCAGGTCGCTCGAGCGACCAAAGTGACGCTCGAGCGAGAACCCTTTTTACTCAGTCTTCCGCTCGAGTAACGGTCGAGCGGGAATTTCACACAACCAGTACTTTTGCCAAGTTTGCAGACCGCTCGAGCGAAGGAAGTTACGCTCAAGCGACCACTCACATTTTTCATGTCCGCTCGAGCGAAGAAACCTACGCTCGAGTAGGGACCCTGTTTTCATAAATTTAACCAAGTGTTTTTCAATGCATTTTGGCATCCTCATTGCATCCTAGGCATTCCTAGGCCAAGATTAGGACACCCTAATGAGGATAAGAAGAAGAAACACAAAGAACAAGTGAAATAATTCATGTACAAATTAAGTATGCGTTACAGTGTATGTATTTGTTATGATTGGTGTAGGTCACGTGCCGTAAGCGGATAATCCATTGGTTTGCTGCCAAGCTATCTGTAAAATTATCTATGAGTAATAACTTAGTAAAGCTATGTTTGATATGAAATACTTTTTGTACTTTATGATATGATGAGAACCGTTGTCGAATGATATGAAGGCTAATATGTGATTACATGAATGATGATCCATTTCCTAGAAGTGTTATGTGGTATCCTTAGCAGAGGCCCTCACCTAGGAGACATAATACTGTGGTTTATGGTCATAAGGCCTTCGCCCGAGGAAAACAATACCGCAGCTCATGTATGAGATATGTTACCTGGTACCGGAGGTTCCAATGTGGAACTAAATAAGCTTGACCAAAAAGTTATGTTTTAATGCTAATGGATACACCATTTAAGATAAGAATGTGACTATGATTCTATTTCTGTATATAAGCATGATTATGTTTCTGTTCAGTAAGAGATTTGAAGTTAAATTGTGATGGGCATTATTTATCTAAACCCTTTACTCTGTTATTATTCACTGGGCTCTGCTCACTATTTATATTATGTATATAGGTGACCAGGCACGTAATCAGGACCAAAGTTGAAGGCCTAAAATTCCGTTTTGTCTACTACCTTTTGTGCCTCCTGAGAAGATTCCAGATCGAGTCAAGTCTTGTGGCTATGGCTTTTTGAAAGTTCAAAATTTCGTTCTCTCTTTTGTTTTATGAACAATTTGTTTTTAATTATCTGTACATAGGTTAACGTATAATTAGTGTATCTATGTGACGTCATATGTATGCTTATAAAGTTTAAAATTATTTTGTCTCATGTATGTCTACACAGCTCAATGGACGTTATATTTTGTATATTTGCTTCCGTAGCCCTTTGGTTATATGTTATTTTGTTCAGAGGCCTTTGGTAATCCAAAGATTACTGGCCGGTTATGACACTAAACCTATAGGGGCGGGTTTAGGTTGTGACAATAGTTCAAACCTATCACAATTTTAGCGACGAAACTAACTAATAAATCAACAAAACCAATTAAAGTTTACAGCAACTTTCCCCAGTGTTTTAACAAAACTAACTAATTAAAATATCTTTTTGGGATCTCATTGAACAAAACATTGAATACCCAAACACCGAATACCCACAACCTTAGTCTGCTTCATTGTCGCCATCAAAATCGCTGCATCGTATGGCAGAAAACATAATGGTGCTTAAATAGATGGATTAATGGGTTGTTCAAAAAAAAATAAAAAAAGATTAATGATGACTTTAGAAACTGATTTAAAACAAATCTAGCAATCGAAACTGATTTAATACAAATCTAATACAAATCAACAGGAGGAAATTAACTAATTAATTAACAAAACTAATTAATTAAAGTTTCCAGTAGCTTTTTCCATGGTTTCAACATCTCCAACATAACTAACTAATTAAAATAACTATTTGGGATATCCTTGAAAAGAGCTAGCAAGACCAAGACACTGAAACAGAGTCAGCAAGGCCAAAACGAATACCCACAACCTTAGTCTACTCCATTGCTGCCATCAAAGTCATTACAAAGGTTGATTAATGGTGCTTAAAGATAGAGTAGAAAAAATATAAAGAGATACATTAATGATAATGGTGCTTAAAGAAAAAGTAGAAAAAATATAATGAGATAGATTAATGATGCTTGAACAAAGGTTGATTAATGGTGTGTGAAACCCTTGTTATTGAGTACAAAACCAAATAAAAAAATATTAAATTTGACAAAATACAATCATAATAGATTTTTAAGCAAAATCCAGGAATGACAGTAACCAAAATTTAACTTTCTTTACTTTTGCACCACTTTCTCAGCAACAAATAGACAATTAATTCACCACATTGATGAAATTTTGCAAGTTCAAACCCAAACCCAAACCCAAACCCAAAGACTAACTATACAAACTATAAAAAAAATAAAAAAAATAAAAAATAAAAAATAAAAAAATTCAATTAGTTTAGATTGCTGCAGTTCAACACAATTCAATTGTTGCCCTAAAAACATCTAGAACAATGTCAATGCTTCTTTTATTCAACCATAGAAGTTAGCTTCAACCAAAACTAATCTGCTTACAAAAAGATTGAATAGAGAGCCAAAGTATTAAAAAGGCAATGTAAAGTGCCAAACACATTTCTTACTTATAATAGTAAACACTCATACCCAACTCATTTTTTTTTAAAAAGGCGATATAATTTCATCCTATTTTTGTAGAAACAAAATCTAATAAAAAGAAATAATTCTGTGCTGGTAATTCTGTCCAAGAATTTTGCTGTTCAGAATTCTGTGCTAGTAACAAATAAGAAAAAAGAAAAACAAATCCAAATAAAAGAGAGGAAAAAAGTGAGAGGGAGAGAGAGAGAGAGGGGCAAAGATTAATTATCATATCAAAATCCAAAAAAATAAAAAAATTCAATTAGTTTAGATTGCTGCAGTTCAACACAATTCAATTGTTGCCCTAAAAACATCTAGAACAATGTCAATGCTTCTTTTATTCAACCATAGAAGTTAGCTTCAACCAAAACTAATCTGCTTACAAAAAGATTGAATAGAGAGCCAAAGTATTAAAAAGGCAATGTAAAGTGCCAAACACATTTCTTACTTATAATAGTAAACACTTCATACCCAACTCATTTTTTTTAAAAAGGCGATATAATTTCATCCTATTTTTGTAGAAACAGAATCTAATAAAAAGAAATAATTCTGTGCTGGTAATTCTGTCCAAGAATTTTGCTATTCAGAATTCTGTGCTAGTAACAAATAAGAAAAAAGAAAAACAAATCCAAATAAAAGAGAGGAAAAAAGTGAGAGGGAGGGAGAGAGAGAGAGGGGGGCAAAGATTAATTATCATATCAAAATCCAAAACCCAAATAAAACCCTAGATTCACACACCCTCTTAAAAATAAAAAAAATAAAAAAAAACCAGCAGAGAGCTTTCTAGATTAGAGAGAATGGAGGCAAATATTGAACAATAACAAACCCAATGGAATAATAACAAAAGGGGGAGTAAAAAAATGTGAGGATTTAGCCTTTTACCTTGGAGATGTAGAGAGAGAAAAGGAAAACATTGAGCCAGATGGTACAAATCACCCCCTCTCAGCGGGGTTGTATTCCGTCAGAGAAAATCACTACCAGAGATTACTTAAACTTCTAGAGAGAGAAAGTTTGGTGAAAAAAAGAAGATGTGTGATGGGAAGAGGAAGAGGTGTGAGAGAGAATAGTTTCCAATTTTGAAATCAAAATCAGAGAGAAAAAGGAAGACGTTTTTTAGTATGGGAACCAAAGCTAAATCTGGACCATTTATTAAACATAGTAAAAGTGATTTAAACCATTGAAATGTCCAAATAGGACAAATGAGAGTAAGGGGTTGTTTGAGATGTCTTAAATAAGTGCACTTTTTGATTTTTTGGACTAAAAAGTTGAGGAAAAAAATATGATTGTTTGGGTTAATTTTTTGACCTTTTATGGAAAATGTGTATTAAAAAATTGTATAAATTAGTGTGTAGGAAAAAATAGGGAAAAATTAAGATTGAGAGTTGTGCAGTCGTACTTTTTGACTTTTGGTGAACAGTGATAACTTTTTAACTTTTTGAGTAACTTTTTGACTTTTTAACTTTTTGGACATATGCCAAACTTGGCCTAAGATATTTTTAGCTCTTAGATTGAATCAATCTGATAGTCTATATTTTGACACACATACAAATGTTCCATCCCCCATTCAAAAAAACCCCCTATTTTGTTATATAGATTTTTTTAGTATTTGAAAATAAATCACCAATTTTACATATTTTAAAATAAAGGTCAGGGAAAGACATAGAGCATACTAGCTCATTTCTTTTCATTTATTTCTCATGCAGGATTTATAATCTTTTTATAAAACTTAAAAAAAGTCTTTTATTATTTTATCATTTATATTAAATTGTCAAAATTGAACCGCTTATACTCATAAACGCAATAATAGACCAGATTTACATTTTTAATATAAAAAAAATTATAATATTATTTTTTTCATTCATATTATTATTAAACTAGCGGTAACCCGTGCAATGCACGGAAAAATAAACTATATACATTTTGTGTGATATATAAATTATTTTAATCTTAAATTATATTTTAATATCAGAAAGCCATGATGTTAGGCCATCTTGATTGATGTTAACAATAATTAATCTACAAAATTTCACAATAAAAATTTGATATACATAAAAAAGTGTTAATTATAAAGATTGTTGGGATAATAGTATTACAATCACTTGATAACATAAATAATTTGTATCAGACTATAGTGTCATGCAAAAAAAAAAACAAAAAAAAACAAAAACAAAAACAAAGCATTAAAAGAAATAAATTTTATAAGTTATCATAAATTTACTTATTTTAAATCAATGATTTATATTATTATTGTGGGACCAAATTATGAATAAATCTCAACTTTTAATTATAATTTGTAAGTAATCATTCTCCATAACTTGAATAATACTTGCATAGTTTCTACAACATTTAAAAAAAAAATCAAGATAAGAATTTCGTAGGATTATAAAAATTATATAAGAAAATAATTTAATCCATTTTATTTATAAAAAAAAAATGATGACAAATTATTTGAATTGTATTTGAAGAAATATAACAAATGATAGCTTTAATCATTATATGCCCAAAAAAAAAAAATTATATAGGTTACTCAACAACAAAATGGTCCAATAAAACTAAAGTTATGGACATATGGGCTCTAAATTGATAATATAATCTAATAAATCAACTAATAATAAAAGAGAGATATCGACAAATATGTAGTATTTCTCTACCATCTTTGTATTTTATTCATTAATTCTGATAGCATTATAAATTATTAATTGACATAATAATTTTTTTAATAGAATGAATCATTTGTTAGGCGATTAAAAACTTGAAGGGCTGAGATATAACTATGATAAATAACCTGTATTATAGACAAACAGCAGAGGGGTATTTGTAATTTACCCTTTGAAATTAAAATATGAAACGACACCGTGTTGAAGCAAACGACGTCGTGTATGTACACTGAAATTTGTCGCCATTGTACAATTGAGATTCTTTGGGGACAACTGAAATTTGTCGCCATTGTACGTCGTGTATGTACACTGAAATCTGAACCCAGAGTTCTCAGCTCCGGCGACTCTCTCCTCTCTCTCTCTACAAAGTTTCACAAAAATGGTGACAATGGAGACAATCTCAGCGGCTCTAAGTCTCGTCGATTCGAAGAAAGAGAATCTCCGAAAAGCCTTCGAAGATCTTCAATCCCACTCATCTTCTCTCTCCTCCTTCAACCTCTCATGGTCCGACCTCGATTCCCACTTCTCCGCCCTCCAATCATCTCTCCAAACCCAGTTCACTCTCCTCCAATCCCAACAACAAAAACCCCAATCTCAACCACCCAAACAACCCCCAAATCAAACCCAACAACCAGATTCACTCGTCTCAGTTCGCCCAGAGCTGAAAGCCTTCTGCGAGAACATGGATGGGTTGGGCTTGAGGAACTACATAGCCGAGCGGCGCAATGAACGAGCCACGATCAGAGCCGAGCTTCCTGACGCGCTTCGGCTCGCACCGGACTCGGCTGCGATGGTTCTGGATGCTACGGAGGGGTTCTATGTGAAGAAATCGGTTCTGTATGATTTGAGGCGGAGCTGTGTGGTTTTGTTGGAGGAGTTGATGGGTTTGAAACCGAAGATTGGGGGTGAAGTGAAGGAGAGAGCGAGGAATTTGGCTGATGAGTGGAAAGGGAGAGTGGGTTCTGATGGTGAGAATCCATTGGAGGCATTTGGGTTTCTTCTTCTTTTGGGGACTTATGGTTTGGCAGATGGGTTTAGTGTAGAGGAACTTGTTGATTTTGTTGTCATTGCTGCTAGGTATCAACAAACTATTGAATTGTGTCGAGTGCTCGGTCTCGGCGATCGGATTTCTGGTGAGGGTTTTCAGTTTTTCTTTAAATATCTACACATATGCATATTATTTTGAGTTGTATGATGTGAATTTTAATGTTTATAGATGGGAAATTCAATGGTTATCTGTTTCTGTGAATTGGAATCAATTCAATATTCATATCATTATTGTTACTCTGTTGCAAATGAAAAGTTATTATCAAATTTTAGTTGAATGTGAGGATGCTGATCTCTTCACAAGTGATTGCACTTTTGTTTTTCTTGTTTTTACAAACAAAAACATTGGAAAGTTCTAAAACGTCCATCATTCTCATATTGTTTTCATTTTTGTGCAAAAGCAGTTTTTGGAAACATTTTTTTGGTGTTTTCTAAAAGTGGGGTGTTTGGGTTGTTTTTAAGAAAACAGTTTTCATAGACAGTTTACCAAACAAGTTATTTTTTGTGTTTTTCAGAAAATATGAACTAAAAACACTACCAAACAAGAATATAATTTTTTGAGATGAAAGAATGTATTTTAGAAAAATGTTTGTAGACGTGTTATAGTTATTCCATCCTGTTGTGACTAGGTGCAATAAAATGTATGACTTCCTTATGAATGATATGAATGCTCGATTCTTGAAGGAGTAAGAAGCTTGATTGGACAAATTAGCTTCTCATGTGGATCTTTATTTGTCAAAAATAAACCAATAATGTGCTTATGCAGAATTTGTTTGACATACAATTAATCATGGTGACAATGTGTTGATTGTGGCTGGTTAATGCATGTAAGTTGGGTTTTTGTTAATACAACGAATTTCTCTGCGTATTCCTTGTTGACTATGCTTGAAGAGCATTTTGTGTGCGTTGTCAAGTGCCATTAGCTTTGTGTTCACCACCTCATAGAATTCTCTAATTGTCACTTTCCACCTCTGCCAATCTTTGTGCCAGGTTAACCTCAAAACACCCCTGTGATCCATGCATGCCTCAACTTGACTCGTTGCAAGCATTTTTTATTAGGGCCCACTTATTATCTCAGTCGCAGAACCATGTGTTGTTCGGAGGTTTGTGGCCTCAGGTCTTCAGGACAACTATGCATTGCTTGGTAGTGTAACGATACAAAATTATGTCACTTTAACTTAAGACTAATCGTTACTCAGGGTTGAATCTTTTATTGTGATTCCCATTATGACAATTGTAGTTAGCAAATCTTTTTTTATTTTGGTCCAAAAGAGCTAAACGTTTCATTTTGGTTATACATCAGTACATGGCTCTCTACTTTCTATCAGGCTTGGTTTTTGGTTAATTTTGGTGCAATGTGGTAATCTTGTTGAGATTTGGCTGTTCAGAGATTTCATCAAATGACAAGAATCCTTGCTAATTTCATACGTTGATCTTCTTGTCGCATTAAGGGAAATCTACCCTTTGAAATTGTCGAGTGTAATTTTTGAAAGACTTTTATTATATAACAATAATATATTCAATGACTTTTGTTACATTATAAGCTCAATCCAACTCACCCATGTTACTTGGTTTGTCACAGATGTTATTTCAAAACTTATTAGAAAGGGCAAACAAGATCTGGCAGTCAAATTTATTTTTGGATTTGAGCTTGCCGACAAGTTCCCGCCAGTGACCCTCTTAAAAAATTATGTGGAAGAATCCAAAAAACTTGCTAAGAAAGTTCGCAAAGATGGAAACTTTTCTCTTCAATCGAAGGTAATGTTGACTTTCCCTTTATGGTTATTTAAATACTTGATTTCAAGGCATGTATTTGATATTTGTCGACACTTGCAGAATGAGGCCGTAACCAAAGAAGTCAACGCATTGAAATCTGTGATCGAAATCATTGAGTATCATAAGCTTGAATCTGAGTTGCCGAAGGAGAACCTTAAAAATCGCGTTGAGGCGCTAGAGAAGCAGAAGGCAGAGAGGAAGCAGCAGTCAAAGCTAAAGAACCTGAGTGGAAGCAAGCGTCCTTGGACTACTGAACTAGCTGGTCCGGAAATGATTCCAAATAGTATTGCTGGCTCAACCGTTCCAGCATTTCAGCAATCCCATTTACAGCCATCAGGTTTGTTGCCAGATCATCATGCTCCATACTCGAGCTCACCAGCCGGGCCATATGGCTTGGCGGGTCCCACTTCTGGCACTGCCCAGTATGCGGGCCCGTCTGCTGGCTCGTATGTTCCGGCAGGAGCTCCTTTCGGTGTCCCTGGGAACTTAATGCCTACACAACCTCACACATACCCTTCGGAATCACACATGCCATCTGGTTATTTTGATAGGCCAATTGCTTATGGTGGTTATGGTTTGCCGCCACAATACCATCCATCTTACTATCCTCAGTAGGTACTTGTATCATTCTAACCATTTAGTACTGTAATATTGGATGGTTTGGTTATTTGAGTTATGTTGAAGTGTGTGGCTGCTTAGTGCCACAAGATTCACAACATTATAGTTTCCTGAACCATAATGATTGAGATGTTTGGGAATAACTCATGAAAATTTTCATTTGAGATCATATATTTTAAGTTTACAAAAAAAAACTGGAACCACAAGGGAAGGAATCCTTTTATTTTGTTTCTTCTCCAATAGTTCTATTGAGCATTTTTTGGAGGTTTTTGTAATGAGTTCATTTTTTTAAGGGATATATGTTCTGCATCTCTAAAAGTAACACTTCCCTCCTTTACCAAACCACTTATCCTTTCTTTCCATTTTTCTTCCCCGCTTTGGCTGCTATTTAAGAGCGACAGTGGTACCCAATTCGACATTCAGTACATTAAAACCATTGTACCATCCTACCCAGCCCCTCAAAAGGAAATAAGTGAAGGCTGGTAAGTAAATCTTCGGTTACGTGTCTAGTTTTTTCTTATATTATGAATATTCAAGTAAAAATGAGTTTGTGCTTCTGCATTCTAAACAATGAGGAAACAAAATGGGATTTCCTTGTGGTTTACAGCTTCCTTGCCTCCTTTCTTATTTTATTATTGTTTCGCTGACTTTAATAATTCTCATGGGAGTTTTTTTTTGCAGCGGGTGCAACTTTTTTCTGCTCTTTGATTCTTCTTCATTGCATTGATCTATTGAACAAATGTATGCATGATAAAACCATAGTAGAAATAGCTCTGGGAGTGAAAGTTCCGGTTCATCAGTCGCAGGTCCAATGCTCAATTACATTTATCACTGTTAGGATATCAAACAAGATGTATAGGATTGGTTTGGGATGTTAGTTGGTTTTTTGGTTATTTTAGTCTAGGATTAAAAAGTCTCGTTTGGGATAAGTTTTTTAGTTTTATTTATTTATTTATTTTTTTACACTTTTGTGAGAAAAAAAATAAAATTATTATCATTTAGATATAATATTTTATCTTATTGATTTTTTCGTCACTTCCCAAACGAAACCAATGCATAGCATATGTACTGTATTGCATGCCCATTGGAAAAGAGAAAGAGGATTAAAAAGTCTATAATAAAAGTTACCTATGAAATGTACAAGACATTTTTTAAAATTAAAAATTACCTTGAAGACTGATTTATTTTAAATGAATGACTTGCTCTATTTTATACAAATGTATGACTTGTGGTAGGATGGTTTTCTTTGAATATGACTTATCGGTTAATTTTTTTTATTTATTATGAAAAGATATATAGAAACGTAAAGAGATCTTAATAAATAAATATAAAATAGAGAGCCTAATAAGCTGATTATTATGGCCTCTTTTGGGAAGCGGAAAAAAAAAGAAAAAGAAGCTTAGTGTAAAAAAAAAATATGAGGTAAACTATATATTTCAGTGTACAGAGAAATGACAATATTTTTTTATTAATACAATTAAAGAATTAATAATCAAATAAAAATATTATAAGTATTAAAATTTTATGAAGCTTAATAAAATTATCCTAAATTTGTTAACTATGTCTCTTCAAATTTGAGGGAGGGGTTGGAGAAATATTTATGGGGGAAAAAAAAAAAGTGAGAAACTTTTTCAGTTATAATTTATGTTTTTTTCCCCACATATAAATGAGTAAGTTTAAATTTGTTAAAGTTGAAATTCTCAACTTCACATGTGCAGTTAGTGCATTATAAGACTAATTTGTATCCATGTCAATTATTTAAATCGTTCATGTTATATGACAAATTGAAAATTTTGATTAATAAAATATAAATAATTATATGATCAAATCACATATATATTATAACAAATAAACAGTTTAATCTTAAAAATATGTAGTTCATATGTAGTATAATAATCGATATTGGATTAATTTAATTTTCTACGTATAAAATTTTTAATTAGTTGTATAAAATAAGCAATTTAGATAAACTAAGTGACTCTAAATTAGTCCAATAATATATCAACTTTATTGTGAAGTAGATATTTTTAACTTGGGAAAATTAGTGTAGGGTCCCTCTTTCCCACTTTTCGTAATGGAAGAGATCTATAAAATTATTTTTTGATGTCTAAGGTCTCTCAACTCCCACACCCATACATCACAGAGAAATTTGACTGAAATCAAACATCAGCTTCCCACTTCTCTCTCTCTTTCTAGAATACATACACAAATATATATATATATATATATAGCTTCAATGGCGGTGAGTTTTGAACCGGACTGGCCACGCTCAGTTCCGCTATGGATCGCCTTGTGCTCTGTCGTCTTCCTCCTCGTCTCTTCACAATCAGACTCCGACGCCAGCCTCTGTGGCTCTAGAGGAAAGTAGTATAACATCGTGTGTAAACCTCTGTGGCTCTAGACCACAACAACACCAACAACAGGAAAGTAGTATAACATCGTGCGTAAACCAGCTTATTCCATGCTTCAACCACCTTAATCTTAGAGGGAGCCATGACAACCCACCAGATAGTTGTTGTAATCCTCTCAAATCTGTGATTAAATCAAACCCTGAATGCTTATGCAGTATTATTAGCATCAAGGCCACCAATGCAGCTCAGCAGTACGGCATCAACCTAACCGATGCTCAGCAATTGCCCGGCAGATGCGGCCAACATGTTAACCTCATCGCCTGCCTTGCTACAGCTACAAGTATACTCGGTTACAAATTCTGCAAGTTCATCATCATTGGTCTTGTCTCAAAGCATCACGTCCATGCCCATGGCAGCTTTATCCATTATTTTTCTTTCTTATTTCTTTGGAGGAGTATGTGATAATTACTGAAATTAACAATTTTTTTGGAAAGGTTTGTCTGAGAATTTCTCTGGGTTGTGGAGTCCAGAGAAATTCTTTGGGTTGAGAGAATTTCCAGGAAAGGTTTGTCTGGGAATTTTCTCTGGGTTGTGGAGTCTAGAGAAATTCTCTGAGTGAGAGAATCTCTGAAAATGTTTGTCTGGGAATTTTTTCTGGGTTTGGGGAGTCTAGATAAATTTTGAATTTTCAAGAAAAAATTGAATGTTCAAAGTCTTAAACTCAGAGATGTTCATGAACTTTGAAATGGCTCTAATATTTCTTGGTTTCTACAAGAAACTAGAACCTAAATCAAGAAGCTTGCTTTGCTGGAAGGCATCTAAAGTGACTCGTCGGAAGGTAATGTTTGATAAATTATTATGATCTTACAGCAAATTCCAGAAAGTCCACTATCTCTGAGTTTATATATATTATGTATATTTTCATAGATTTCACACTCACATATACCTGTACCCATGTGTGTATATTTAATTTCATTCATTCAATGGTTGTGCTTCTTAGTCTGCAAATCCCACTGATGTTATTGCTTCTTCTTTTTTTTTTGGTAATCAGCTCGATGCTGTATGCACTTTCTGTCCTCCTTCAACCACTCTTGAAGGTCAGAATTTCTCTGGACCAATTTTCTCTGTGACATGAATTTTCTCTAGACTAATTTTATCTGGACCAATTTTCTCTGGATCAACTCGAGGGACCTTAGACATTATGAAAATATTAGATGTCCTTTATGCTATAAAATTTTAATACAAGGGACCTTAAAAAAAAAACCCCTTGCTATTGCCATAATTTGGCAGCAGTTCACAGAAACTTTACTCCAATGGTAAGTTATGGCAGCTGCCATAACTGCCTATGCATAATAAAAATCTCATTCCCTTCCTGAGTTCAGATCCTCTACTTGAGAATCTCTACTTGGCTTCCTACTTGGTGGGCCATTGGGCCTATATTTGGGCTCAACTTCGATGATCTAAATCGTTCACATTTTAAGATTTATTGAGTATATTATACTCGCAAAAAATTAAGTTGATCGAATATCAAAATCCATGTGTTTTGATCATCGAACTAAAAATCGTTTTATTAAAAAATAAACCTGTTAATTAAATTTTTTTAGTTCAATGATCCGAGCACGTGGTTTCTGATATTCGATCAATTTGATTTTTTACAAGTATGACATACTCAACAAATCTTAAAATGTGAACTGTTCAGATTATCAAAATTGAGCCCAATGACCCACTAAGTAAGGAGCCAAGTAGAGATCCTCCAAGGAGAAGATCTAAGCTCTCCCGCCCTCTCTTCTATCTGCCACTTTTGTACAACAAAAGATTGAAATTGGTGTGTGTGGGATGTCTGGACATCCTATACGCACCAGTTTCTGTGTTAAAATAGCAAAAATTACATCCTTCCATTTGAGCACCATTGTTATAATTCTACCATTTTCTACTGTTCATTGCCATAATTTGACAAGGACAATGCTATTGGGTAATTTACAAACACACTCCCTGAGATTTATTTAAAATACAAATTCCCTCTTGTGGTTCTGAAAATTACATCTCGCTCCCTGAGATTTTTAATTTTATAACAAATAACCATTTTTATTAATAAAATATCAAATTAATTAATAACTTTTAATGTTAAAATTTTATTTTAACTAATAATTTAGATAATTTTTTATTATATAGGATAGCGGTTAAGAAATTTTTTTTTTCCAATTAATTTTGATAAATAAATTTTTTTGACAATGGGACATTTATAATTTTTCAAACCATATAGAACAATTAGTATTTTAAATAAATCTTAAGAGGTGCATTTGTAATTTATCCTAATATTTACCATTAGAAATACTCTTACAATCTCATATTTTTGTAAATTTTTTAGTCAAATAAACTGATCTCTAGTTTTTCTTAATTTTTTTTTTTATGAAAAATGCTAAAGCTTTTTTTTTACTATTATTAATTTTGAAAAATGTATAAAAAATATTTTAAAATAATAAATATTTTAGCATTATATTTTTCTTATTGACTTAGCCTAGCATTACCATTAGCTGGATTTTTTTTTTTTTTTGGATAAACTTGGGCATTAAGCTGGATGTTTTTAATATTTATATAAGTAAAATATTATAATAAGAGAGAGAGGGTCAAAGGGGTGGGAGAAAAGGGGATGAATCATTGTTGTATACTCTATATATAAATATCATCGTTTCGTTTGATAGATCCACATTCGTCCGTGCACGGTAAAACGCGACCTTGGCAACATCAATTTAACGATCACACAACCACCACCAACAACAACGTAACAGAGATTAAGAAAATGACAACCCAAACACATCCCAATCCAGATCCACTGTAAACCCAAGTCAACCTCTCTCTATCTCTCTGTGAAATCCCCAAACTACCCCTCCGCTGTTCTTCACCCCATCCATCGAACCCCGCTCTTCTCTCTCTCTCTCTCTCTAACCAAGCTTCGCAATCGTCAATGGAAGACTCTGAGTCTGAGTCTCTGAGCTCTCTTCACAAGGAAGAAAGTCGCGTGATTCACAGCTCTGATCACACGAGAGATGCGAATTCTGGATCCAGCTCCGGCAGGTACAAACTCATGTCTCCGGCCAAACTCCCGATCTCTAGGTCTCCGTGCATGACAATCCCTCCCGGACTCAGTCCGACTTCGTTTCTTGACTCCCCTGTTCTTCTCTCTAACATGAAGGTTTGATCCTCTCTCTCTTTCTGCTTCGAATCATTGGCGAGTACTTGGATTTGAAGTAGGTTTTGTTTGTTGCTGATTCGAATCGTATGTTCATATTTTGTTCAGCCGTTGTTTGGTTGCCCAGAAAAAGATAAAAGAAAAAAAAAAAATCTTTTTTCTTTACGTATTTTTAGTCTTAATTGACAAGTGGAAAACTTACTGTCTAGAAGCAATTGAGGTGTTGTTTGGTTGTCTAGAAAAACGAGGGAAAAGAAGAAAGAAAAAAAATATCAATTGCTTATCCTTTCAGTTTCTTTGTTCTTAATTAATTAGTGGAAAACTGGAAACTCTCTCTCTAGAAGCACGTCGAAACTAAAGAAATTGTGCGGTCCTCAATTGAGGTGTTGTTTGGTTGTCTAGAAAAACGAGCGGAAAAGAGAAAGAAAAAGAAAGAAAAAAAAAATAATTTCTTTTCTTATTTTTGGTCTTAATTGATTAGTGGTGGAACTTACTCTCTAGAAGCAAGCCATAACTAAAGTAGTTGAGAAAGAAAAAAAAAAATTGAATTGCTTATCCTTTTTATTTTTTGGTTTTAATTAATTAGTGGAAAACTGAAAGCTTACTCTCTAGAAGCAAGTCGTAACTAAAGTAATTGTGCGGGCCTCAATTGAGGTGCTGTTTGGTTGTATAGAAAAACAAGGGAAAAGAAAAAGAAACGTTCCTTTTTCTTTTCTTTTTTTGGTCTTAATTTATTGGTGGAAAACTTATTGCCGAGAAGCAGACAATAACTAACGTAATTGTGCTACCTTTAATTGAGTTCGTTATTGCAGTTTTCAATGTTTTTTTTCACTTATCCTGCATTAGCTCAGCATTGAAACGGAGGATGTCGTTACATCACAGTAGCTTTAGTGGAGAATTTCTTCGAAATTGAGTGTTGTGATGTGATATAAGATGTTTGTTCGTTGAGAAAAAGGACGAATCTTTAAGTAAACTACGATTTGAGATTCTGATTAGAAGCAGTGCTACCCTCAATTGAGTTTATTGTTGAAATTTTTGAATTTTTTTTACTTATTCTGCATTAGCTCAGCATTGAAAAGGAGGATGCGGTTACATGACAGCATGGTTATCAGAATCCTGATCCGGATCTTACGATCCTACGATCTTACGATTTATTTGAGTACAATCGATCCGGATCGTGTAAAAAAATCCTTATAGGTAGGATCTTTCGATCCTGGTAGTGGGATCTTATAGGATCGTGGAATCCCGATCTGAATCCGATCCTATCCGATCCAATTTACAAGCCTTGTTTTGTATTGTATGACATATTTTATTGTAAATTTTATGTTTGTTGTCTAAATACCAATTTATGTGGTCAAAATAAATAATAAAAATTAAATAGTATTGAATCAAATAGACTAAGAAAAACGAACTAGGAAACAAACATTCAAATATTGCGGTAATTTAAGAAAATTAAATAGTTGGAAAAACAAACTTAGCTTTAACGGAGTCTAAGGAGGATAAGATGATTGCAACATTATCCCAATTTTTGGAGAGATTATTTTTGTGACTCGAATCCGCTCCACCAATGATGCTAACGACAAATCTTATCATTCGATTAAGCTACTCTTTTGAGTTCTTAATCTATTTTCATATCCAACTTTGTTAAATATTTTTTCTTTACTTTTTATGCATTATTGTAGATTGTAATGTATTTTGTTATAGAATTCTTCTTCTTCTTCACCTTCTTTTTTGATGGAATACAAAACTTTTACCATCGAGTTTTCTATTGTATAATATTATATGTACATTTTACATAGAGTATTGTATTTTTCACAATATTTTCACTTCTTTTTAATAGAATATAAGCTCATTTTGTGTATACTTTGTAAGAAATATTTATTTAAATTAAATTATTATGTAATTTGTCTTTTTCGGTAGGATCTTACGATCCTCGATCCGATTCTACGATCCGATCCTATAAACACCTCCAACGATCCAACGTAGGATCTCGATTTTAACAACCTTGCATGACAGTAGCTTTAATGGAGAATTTTTTTCGAAATTGAGTGATGTGATGAGATATAAGATGTTTGTTCGTTAAGAAAAAGGACTATCTTTAAGTAAAAAACTACAATTTGAGATTCTAATCAGAAGTAGTGCTATCCTCAATCGAGTTCATTATTTGAATTTTCAATACCTTTTACTTATCCTGCATGAAATGGAGGATATGGTTACATCACAGTAGCTTAGTGGGGAATTTTTTTCGGAATTGAATGATGTGATGTGATATAAAATGTTTGTTGGCAGAGAAAAGGATGATCTTTAAGTAAACTACAATATGTGATAAGAAGTTGGGTTCGTTTCACCACTTCAGAATTTGTTGGCTTTTTGTTGCTTATATATGAACTACTTACATATCCTGGGCCCAATTGATTCTTATGCTTCATATTATTGTATTCTATGATAGCATCTTATTGGCATTATGCGGTGTAGCTTGTCCTAGAATATGTCTTACTGCCAACAATTGGAACTTTTTCTGGTTTATAACGGTGTTGTTTTCTTTCAGCATGAATCTTCCTTTTTGTTTGTGCTTGGCCTTTTTATGTTTTGTTCCATCTTTGTGATTTGACATGTGAGGAAAAAGAAGGAAAAGATTCACACTTGTATGGATCACTTTCACAATCATGGTGTTTAAATAACTCTAATCAATGTGTACTCAATTATCTATAAAAACTATAGGAAGAATTTTGTTTTAGCTGTGTTCATTGGTTAATGCAATGTTAAGGCTTTGAGTGCCTTCCTCATGAAGCTAGACACAACCCACCAATTTATATAGAAAGTGCAAGTTAGTTGCCTTTTTTTTTTTTTTGTTCTTTTGTGTGTTATGTGCTGGTGATTATACACAATTAGAAGATTCCCAATCCATAATTTTTAGAAACTTTTGAATCCTGCAGGCAGAACCTTCTCCAACTACAGGTTCATTTTTTAAGCCTCAATTGATGCATTGGACTGGGGGTACCTCTGGTTTTTCAAAGTTAGTTGCCTTTTTTCTTTTTTTTTTTTGGTTCTTTTGTGTGTTATGTGCTGGTGATTATACACAATTAGAAGATTCCCAATCCATAATTTTTAGAAACTTTTGAATCCTGCAGGCAGAACCTTCTCCAACTACAGGTTCATTTTTTAAGCCTCAATTGATGCATTGGACTGGGGGTACCTCTGGTTTTTCATTGGCTACAAATAGCTCCAATAGTGATACGATCGATGAAATAAAAAACGGCTGTTTTGAGTTTAAACCCCATGCTGGATCTGATGTTTCAAGGTTACCTGCAGTGACACCCATGGTAATGCCCTAATGAACTATCAAATGGTTATTACCACTTTTTCCTCCTGAAAAATTCATATACCATTTGAGAAATTTTGTTACTGATTTAGATGTGGTTTTGCATGTGGTTCTTATTTATTGTGGCGTGTGAATTGGAAATCAGTTTTAGGAACATTCCGTATTTATATGGAAAATATTAGCATGGAATAATTATTGGTTCTAGTGTCAAAAGGATGAAAAGAATTATTTGGTTTACCCATGAATGAGTTAGAGGCCATGTATATATAATAAATTCATGATACAATTTAAGTAACGATATAAATAAGGAAATAATACTAAATCAGTTATTGACACAATCACAGATTATATACATAATACTAAAAGTAAAGAGATTTTATGTACTCTAATTTTTATATTCAACACTCCCTCTCACCTTGGTGTGAAGATATTCAACAATCGCAGCTTGTCAATGGATGGCTGGAAGAAGCCGCAAAAAACTAATGTCGGAACAGTTTAAGGGGTCATGTTGGACCGTTGTAAAGACTAATTGGAATCAATGTCGAGACAGTTTAAAGGGGTCATGCCAGACCGAAATAAAGAACTGGATGTTGAACCAGCAAGCGTGGCACACACATAACTTATGACGTGGTGCTAAACAATAATGACAACAGATGACTGAGTGCGCTAGGAGGCGGCTTATTAGAAAGTGGGAGAGGGGACAACTTGGATGGTACGTCAGGGGGCGGTTTTGGTGGCGCGCGAAGGGGGCGGCTTGGGTGGTGCTCCAAAGAGGGCGGCTTAGGTGGTGCGCCAAGGAGGCGTCTTGGGTTATGTGCTAGAGAGAGCGGCTTGGGTTGTGCGCTAGAGGGGACGGCTTAGGTGGTACGCCAAGGGGCGGCTTGGGTTGTGCGCCAAAGAGGGTGGCTTAGGCGGTTCACATGGTATATGACCATACTCACTATGATATAGGCATAATACCCTCCCTCAAACTCAAACAGGTTTGAAGATATAAATCTATTTAAGGTTAAAATAGAGGAAAAGACAAAGTGAAGCAGAAACATACAAAAAAATAGATTGCGAGTAAAAAAAAATATGATCGAGATATCTGGGTAGGAATAAACTAGCGAACAAAGGAGGAGATCACCATGAAGTGATACTGACAGGAACATATGACAGTGGAAGGGGTTGAGGTCCGGTGAGCGGCCAAGGCAAGGCTGCCGCCCGTCGGTGAAACAAAATTACTAAGTAACCTAGCTCCTATACCAAAAAAGATGAAAAACATTATTTGGCTTACCCATGAACTAGGTAGAGGCAATGTATATATAATAGATTCATGATATAATTTAGGAAACGATATAAATAAGGAAACAATACTAAATTAGTGATTGACACAATCACATACTAAAAATAAAAAGATTCTATGTATTTTAATTTCTATATTCAACAGGTTCTGACTCGCTAGAAATCAAAATCATGTAATTTATGTGCTCTATAGATGAGATACTCCACTCTTTTGCGTAGAACAAATGTTACTTGCAGGCTGTTATCATGTTTTGGATTTATTAACATTTTCTTATTACAACTACACGGCACAAGTGCCGGATAACATGAGTTTGTCCATCCCATGTGCAGCCTATGGCTACAGTCAATGCTGCATGTGTTCTTTGATGCCTAATTTTTCTGTTTTTTTAATTGAAAACAATTCTATAGGATGGAAGTGGACCAGGGTTCTTATAGAATTAAAAATGCTTATTATTGTTATTTTTTTAATTTAAAAACATCTTTTTAAAGAAAAAGAAGAATCTTGAACATATATTTATAGGTTTCAGTTTGATGCGTCTGTGTGATTATCCTTGAACTAATTTTAGCACTGTTTGCTTTACATTTTTGTATAAAGACCTCCACAGGCATGGACAACCAAAAAAATGAACCATTTGAGCGAGCTCAAGTTCAATGCCAGTCTCAATCATTTGCATCATTGTCATCTGTTATAAGCGAGATGGCATCCTCCTCGAAAGAATTGAATGTACCTGAACCTGTTCATATGTTTGCTTCAAGAGCTACTGTACCTGCTGGAGTTGATTCTGATGAATTAAACAAGGTTCAAGCATCGCAATCTGATCATAAAGATATTGGGCCTTCAGTTACTCCTGAGAGATCATCTGATGATGGATATAACTGGCGAAAATATGGGCAGAAACTTGTGAAAGGAAGTGAATTTCCACGAAGCTATTACAAATGTACACATACTAACTGTGAGGTGAAGAAGATTTTCGAACGCTCTCCCAGTGGTCAAATAACAGAGATTGTGTATAAGGGTACACATGATCATCCCAAGCCTCAACTGGCCCGTCGATATACTGCTGGTTCCATTATGTCCGTCCAAGAGAAAACTGGTAAGGTTTCATATTTAACCGCCCAAGGTAAATAAAAAAGCTTTCCAATTATTTCACTTTTTCAAAGTTTATGTACTGAAGTGATTCCTCCTCCTCCATTCCTTGAAGATAATATTGAGCCATATGGCACTCCTGAGCTATCTCCTCGTGGAACAAATGATGACAGTGTAGAGGGTGGAGCTTCCCAGTTGAACTGCACTAATGATGAGGTTGATGAAGATGACCCATTTTCAAAGCGGAGGTGATGTAGTTCAACGGAGGCGTTGGATTTTCTTTTTCGTAATAGTTGTATCCATGTACTAACTTCGATTGAAATTACTGTCAAAATTTGTTGCAGGAAGTTAGATGGTGTTGATATTGATGTCATACAGGTCGTTAAGCCAATTCGTGAACCGCGTGTTGTTGTTCAAACTGTGAGTGAGGTTGATATACTGGATGATGGGTATCGATGGCGTAAATATGGTCAGAAAGTGGTGAGGGGCAATCCTAATCCGAGGTATTGTCAGTACTTAGATTTGTTTTACCTATTTTATATGTTATTTCCAGAATTGATTATTTGTAAATAATTCCTAAGCAAACAAGTTGAGTTTGTGTATGTATTTCCCCTCCATTTATACCGAGCCATGGCCACCACCTCTATTCATGATACTTTTAACTAGTGCTGCCAATTTCCAACTAACATGGAGGTAATTATTTGTTGATTCTGAAGATGGAAAATAAATAAATAAATAAATTCCTTTGGTTTTCAGCCCTCTCTTCGTATTATTAGCATGATTTATAGAATTAATGCTAAATGTCATTGTTCAAAAGCGGGACTGTACGTCAACTACTAAACACTAAATATCATTTTCACGTGTTATGTAGGAGTTATTACAAGTGCACAAATGCTGGATGCCTGGTTAGGAAACACGTGGAAAGGGCATCCCACGATCCCAAAGCTGTCATAACTACATACGAGGGAAAACACAATCATGACGTACCTACTGCAAGAACTAGTAGCCATGACATGGCAGGACCTGCAACTGTGAATGGAATGTCGAGGGTTAGATCAGAACAGAGTGATTCAATCAGCCTTGATCTTGGGGTGGGGATTAACTCTAGTGCTGAAAATAGATCAAATGAGCACCAGCAAATACTGGATGCTGAACCTTGGCAAAACCATGCGAATGGTAACGGCTCCAACTTTAAGGTAGTTCGAGTAACCCCAGTTTCATCATACTATGGTGTTCCAAATTTAGGTCATAGCTTTCAGACTCCACCTTTAAATCATTCTTCTAACCCATATCCACAAAACTTGGAAAGGATACTTTTGGGCCCGTAGAATTGTTTTGTGAACAGAAGAAAGAATAAAATCAAATGATGTGGATTTTCTCCATTGGTGGCTTGGAGGTGAAAGGCTAAAGGGCAAATACGACCGATCATTTTCTTCCTGTTAAGTGTTGCTTATACGACATTAATTGCTCTTGCCTGAAATGGTTTGTACAAATGTGCAATTTTAGTACATATACATTTCTGACCAACAGATGTATTGTAACTGAGACCGGTGCTTGAAAAGGAAAGTATTTTGCAGGAATTTACTTTCATGTCTGAATCACTGATTGATTGGTCAGGTCAATGTTTTATTGAAAATAATGTATTAATTGTGTCCGAATTATTGTACTTTGTATTTTTTGATCTCATATACTGAGGTTCATATAAGGTGCGAACGGGTTTGACAGCCGGAGAGACTCACCGGTGATGAACTTCTTTTTCCATCTGAATGTTATTGGTTCAAAGAAACTGATGTACTTTGTAATATTATCTGCTAACCGATGTCAATGATGAATGGCACGTAGATTGTTCGTCTTGTAGATAAATGAGGACAACGATTGAGACTGGATCCTTTGTTGGCATTCTCTCTTTTGCCAAATTCGGGATGAGCATGCATCGAGTTGGCTTGAGTTATAGCCAAATACAAAATTGAACGGACCATCCTTTAGAAACTTACTCAAATAAACTCTGGGTTGATTCCGGTTGAAATCATAGGTTCACTTATAATTTTAGAATTTACACTTTGCATTCTTACACTTTGTATTAAATTTTAACTTTGATTCCTACACATGAAATTATAACAGTTAATCTTTGTACTTTTAGTCAAATCTCACTCTGGTCTTGGGACATGAAATTATAACAGTCTACTCCTTACATTTTTGGTCAAATCACACTTTTGTCCCTACATAAGTATCAATGTTTCCTTTCTCGATTGTTTAAATTTTTAACGTAATCTAATTATGTGATAAAAATATGACTATGAAATGAAAGTTAAAGAGAAAAATCATTTTTATTTTCCACCGCGACATTTTATCCTAAAATTAACATCAAATTATGATTGTATTATGTTAAAACAAAACGTAAATTGTAAACAATTAAGAAGATGAACTAGGGATTTGCATAAATTGGAATCAAGAAACCCTATTTTCTACAATAACAGTCTTCTGTCTATTCTGCTTATTTTCTCCTCGATTTCTCTGCTGTCTTTTTTTTTTTATTATTTTAAAAGCTCTATTTTCTTGCATCTTTGTCCTAATTTTTAATATACAAACATATATATATATATATATATATATTGTATTATATCACTCTTACATGTTTATCACGTTGGACAAAGTGTGTTTTGGTAGAAAATATAGATAATTTTTCTCTTTTATTCCCATTTCGTAGTCACATTCTTATTACATGACTATATTTTGGTAAAAATTTAAACAATTGAGTAACAGAAGGGAGACATTAATACTTATGTAAAGATTAAAATGGAATTTGACCAAAAGTGCAAGGGCTGATTGTCACGATTTCATGTATAGAGACGTGAAACTTGACTTAAAGTGGAGAGGTTTTTTTTTTGGGTGGATAAAAATGTAAGGGTCAACTATTATGATTTTATGTGTAAAAATTAAAGTGAGATTTTGTACCAAGTGTAGAAATGTAAAGTGCAACTTACCCTTTTAGAATTTTGTAAATGAACTTAAAATAATAATAATAATAATAATTTGTAGAGTTCGAATTGCCATAGTCCATAACCACACCATAACAACGAGGAATAATTATAGAGTGGAATAAATTAATGTGATTATAGAGTGTAGGATCCATCACCTTCTTTTTCTTCTTTTTTTTCTTTTTTTTTTTATGAATAATTTATAGGTTTGATTTAAAAAAAAAAAAACGGGTGACTCCTTTATTTAATTAAGAACGTCCGAGAAAAAAAAAAATCTGGAATAGGGCAGAAATGAGATAGGGCATCCTGTGTGCTCATGATTGGCCTCCAAGTCTTGACAGAGATGTATTTTGTCTCTTCTGATGGTTAACTACAACATCCCTCGTTCATGTCCCGTAAAGACCATTACCCATGAAAATGCAAGTTGTAATGTCTAGTAGTAGCTCTTTGTCCTGTTGCTCAACTGGTGCTAAGGATCCTATGTTTTTTATGGTCTTCACTTTCTTTGTTTGAAGTGTGAAAATTTCAAAGTAAATAAATCACAAGACATAAATGAATGGTAGTATATTGAGATGGCATAAGATTCTCTTTTATTCTCAAATATTCTTGTTCTTATTTCCTAAAACACTCATAGTTATTAGATTATTAAAAAATTTAAGGCGTGAAAATATCAAGACATGATCTAATAATTGTAAATGTTTTAAGACAGAGGGATAAAATGATTTGCAAACAGTGGATCATTAGCCTATTAGGGGTAGAGATACAATTAAATTTGGAAATAAAATATATTCGCTTATAGAAAAATTTAGGAACAAGATCTATGCCGTATCAATGTAGCAGAGAAAAAATTACAACTTTGATAGAGACCCCCTCAATCACCAACTCCCACCACCCCCACACACACCCACACACACGTGGGGGTTGGTGATTGGAGGAAGAGAAAAAAAAAAAAACCAAAAAAATCTGGTCAATCACAGGCCAAGGGGGTTACTATTTGGAGGGGGTCTAGAACATTTTTGGAAAAATTATTACTATGATATGATATGGTATTATCTACGTGTATCTAACAAATGAAAAATCATTACATATTCAGTAAATCATCTTTTCTCTCTTAATAATTTAACAAAAGTGAGTCACCATGTCCAAAACAAATTTTCCACTGTATCATTAGTTTGAAACACCATTTAATCAAACATCACATGGTGCTCTCTCAAACTCCGGAATAATTACCTGAGTAGAGAGAATCCGGATCCATTGAGGGTACTCCCAAAATGAGTCTTTAATGCGCTGAATGATAGAATACAAAACCCCTTAAATACACACTTTTGTCTCTGTTTCCCTGCTGAAAACTGTTCATGATGAGGCCACGTTTGTGGCAAGAAGTCTCCCCTGAAAGCCAACCCATAACCCCTCTTCAACGTTCAAATATGGACTATCCATGAGAGAGAGAGAGAGAGGGGACATTACTATAGTGCTAAATTGCTTGTAAGGTATGCTTTTTTCTGTTTTGTTGGGGGTTATTTTCTTGATTGTCATTATACAAAAGTTTGAAAACATAGCTTTGCTTTATGAACATGCAGGACAATGATTGTTGAACACTGTTAACTTTTTGTAGGTTTGGTTTGACCACCTGCATTAATTTAGATTTAGATATATAACCATGCTCTGTTTTTCTACTTACTTTCACATTTTGTGAAGATATAGGGGGAGAGAGAGAGAGAGAGAGAGATGTATGCCATATGGGTATCCTTGAAGGAGAACCTCAGCTGCAGAAGTAAGCTAACAGATGCAATCTGCCGGCCGGAAAAGATTGGTAAACATAGAAAGTTCATCTTCAAAAGGGAGAACTCAGAATCCGAGCTTGTTCATCCGATGGAAGAGCGAATGTGCGAGTTGGTTTTCAGGCAAAATCACCCTCCAAATTGGTATTATGGTGAGTAACCTAGCTAAATCTACATAACCACTGCACTCAGTCAAATCTCAATTTAGTTCTTCATTTTTCAGTTATAACAGTCAACTTCTTACACTTTCAGTCAAATAACAATGTGGCCCTTCTAACAGAAATTGTTGTGCGACATTCTCGTGAGGCAATTTTTTAAGACAAATGTAAATTTTTTTCCTCTTCTTTTTCTTCTCCTACTGTATTTTCACCACCAACCAACCACTCCTAGTCCCCACCCTCTTCTCACGGCCATTCCCTATCCCCCTTCCCTACCCAACAGTGGTAGGCTGTGGCAGGGAAGAGTGGGAGAAAAAGGTGTTGCAGTAAAGAAAAAATACTGCAAAAAAAAAAGATAAAAAGTAGAAAGGAGAAGAAAAAAAATCATATTTTCGCTCTAAAAGAAGTGGAAAGGACCTTTTCCCTCAAAGATGCCTCATATGAGTGTCAAATGATGAATTCTGTAAGGCAATTAAACACCAAACTAACGGAATAATCATATTATAACTTCACTGAACGTGCAAGTTATTAACAATTATAATTGAAAAATATGAAATTGAGATAAAATTTGATATAAAGTGCAAGTATACAAAATATAATTTACCCTACATATGTGTATGAATGTATAGCCCTTCTTGTGTCAAACAGAACTGAATACTGGAGACCCATCAAGAAACATCATTGAGATGATCATCCGCGCTGCATCGACATACCCTTCCCAGCACTGCAAAAAGATCAAAAGAGTCCTCCGAGTAAACAACTCAGCCAATACAGTTGAAAGGTTCGAAAAGTACAGAGAAACAGTGAAGAACAGAACCCAAGAGGGGCAACACAAGCAAAATCTGAGAACCACAGTGGACGGGAACGAGCTGTTACAGTTCTACGGCACAACCATGAACTGTTGCAGTAGGAAGCCAAGCAAAAAGGTATCTGACGCCTGTAAAGACCCGACTTGTCGAGTCTGCAGAGTAATTCAATCAGGTTTCAACACGGTGTATACAAGGAAGAATGGGATTCGGTTGAGCACAAGCAGTGAGGAAGTGAGTGAGGACGCGATTGGGTTCGCGGAAGGGAAGAAGAACCTGAAGAGGGCGGTTGTAGTTTGCAGGACAATTGCAGGGACAGTAGCTAATGCGATTGATGATGAGAAGAGTTGGGAAGAACATGATTCAGTTAGAATTGGACGATTGTATTCTGAAGCAGAGTACTTGATTGTGCAAAATCCCAGTGCTGTGCTTCCTTGCTTTGTTGTAGTTTTCAACTGAATTGTATCTGTATTATTACTGTTTTGCCGCACTTTCATATATGAATCCAGCACGATGATGAACAACACGTTATAAATGAGTGTATTTGAGATGAGAATGCTTTGATAGATATGTAGTTAGACTAAGAAAGATAGAATTTGTGAAATAGTAGTAGTAGCAGCAGCACCAATTGAAGATAAGTTAATATAAAACTGAGTATGATGAATTGACAATAAACAAGGAAGACCTATACATGCAACGGTAAAGAAGAGCAATATGATCATAAACAGAAATATTAGGAGAGGAATGCCTACACTAACATGGAAAGTAATAATTAAATAAATATGAATGTATGTAATTGAACTACGCATAGTCTTTGATAGAACATAATGAGAAAAAAGAATTCAGGCAACCGACCTCACTTGAGTGGGACACAACACAACGCTTAAATTTGTTTGATTTGCAGATCCTGTCTGGAGCAGGGCAAGATAAACGTTGATACATGTCGAAGCTAAAAGATTTCCTCCCAAACTTATCAATTCTCAATTAATAAACTTTTTTTCAACTCATTTAAGTATTTTAAACTCATAAGTTGTAACTAGAAACTACAATAAATAGTTTAGCACAAACTTCCAAATGTAAGAAAAGCCATATAATTACTCCCATAAACTGCACCAAAACGGACCAATTCTAAGATAGATCCCTTTGTTATTATAGGAACACTATGGAGCAAAGCATCTTGTAAAATTAATAAATAAAAAGTGTATTTATTACTAAATGATACAAAGTCTAACAAACAAGACTGGTATAAAAATATTAATATAAACTGTCAAGGTGAGATCAAAAAAGAATTACCCCTAGGTTGGATTTTCATTTCCAGGCACAAGAGGCAACCAAATCTTGATTCACCCAGCCAAGGTACAAAGCCCTGTCTCTCTCTTCAAGTCTATAGTTCCCATTGTAGTTCTGAAGCAGAGCCTTGATTGTAGCATTTACCATGGAGTTCAATGGGTATGGTGTGAACCCAGCCATCAAAAACCGCGATCTCCATTTCCCGAGCAGCTCATGCCGCTCCACCCTCTCAGCCCCCTCACACGCTATTATGTTGACAATCTCTCGAGCCAAACAGTGTTGTTCAACATTGATCCGCTCCTTGTGCTCCCTTGGTAGTGTCACGTCGATTGATTCGAAAATAGCCTTGTAGTAGTTAAGCACCTCAAGAAAACGGGGAAAGAATGGGGCAGTGTTGGTGTTCGATTCTTGCTCGACAAGAGTCACAATTTTGGGAGATAAGCTCTTAACCAGCCTCAACAGTCTGTCACGGTGGTTCTGAACGCTCACACTCTCGTCTGGCATGTGGTGAAGCACGAATGCGAAATTTACAGCGAGTGGTTCCCCAGGAAGAACCCTAAGATCTTGAATCTCCACTAGAGAAGCAGAAATGGGCACGGCGTGGAATTCAAAAGGTACATTACATGACTCAGCAAACCTTGATAGCCTCTGTCCCACAATCTCAATTCCTCCTCCCCGGGCATAAGCTGATGTTGAATCATCGATACCCGTGATGCAGATCCGTGGGGGCCCACCAGGCCGAGCTGCAAGAGCCTGGATTAGGGTTACCCACTGACTCCCCTGAGAGATCTGAAAATCGATTATATGAATTCTATTTTCATCCTTCATGGCTTCAGCAATCGCCCCATTGGCAGACATATATCCAAACTTGAAGTATGGGCATACTTCATAGAGCAAGTGCATGTATGAAAGGAGCTCCGCACTCGCAGGCTCTTTGCATTTTAGGGCTTTGTAGATTGAGCTTCCCGAGGAGGCTAACCTCGCAACGAGCCCTTCCAACATGTATGCTCCTAACCGTTGGAATGGATCACCACAAACTGATACCATCTGGCGTAACTCTGACATCAACCATTCAGTTGCTAATAGATCGTTATCGTCTACGGCTTTTGCACAGGCAATAAGCACCTCTTTCAAGTCCCTTTTGCTAATTATCTCCATCACTTGTTTCCACTTCTCCGTCTCCAACGAAATTTGATTGGGTCCACCATGAATGGCGATATTACACGATTCAAGGATATCAGAATCAGGTCCAAGCATTGCAGTCTCGAGCTCTCTTATCTTATGCCTCAAGTCATCAACATCATCCGTCAAGCAAATCCCACTTATGGCCGAGCTGATAGTATTGTCTGGTGAATGATGCATGTCAGATGCATATGAATGAGAATCAGGCTGAGAGGTGGGGCTTCCATGCGGAGAGAAACTCACGGTAGACGGAGAATTTTGAAAAGGGTAACCACCAGTTGCTGTGGATGAGTCAACAGTGCCAAGTTGATCGGACGTCTGAACAGAAACATGGGTCCCTTGGCTTCCATCATCGGAGCATAACCCGTGTTCTAGATTCTGGGAGGGAGGCCAGGGATAGGACTCAACCTCTGGCCCAGGCTGGTAATATAACCTGTGGGACCCATCTGAATTTCCTTGTTTCTGAGATGTCTGCATCGAAGATTAACTTATTCTTGGATTTAGCACAACCAATAGAAATCCAGAGCCCTACCAGGAATCCTTTCTGGACGAAATGCTCTTGAACTCAGCTGTTGGATAACAAACCTTTATTAAGACTTCTGCAACTCCATTTTTTCATTTTTCTTTATAGATCCGGTTTTGTTCAGAGCATTCCACGTCTTTCAAAGATGATCCATCCCTGCAGAGAAGTTAACAAGATCATTTTAAATATCTGATAATAAAAGAGAAGAGGTAAATTCACAAATAGAAAGCACATAAATTTAATTGAATTGTTAGCAAACTAAAAAAATTTGAGGTCGTTCCATAAGAGCATTCAATGGAGGTCGTTGAAAATAATTTCCAAGGCTCCATGAGAATCAATGAATCATCAAAGAAAGAGCATAGTGGGTTTGGTTCTTAAAGAGAGAATCTTACAAAATAACAGAATTCACTTTAAACAAAGAAGAAGATACTACAGAGTTTTACCTACTAAATATGCTAGCTATGTAACCTTCGCAAATCCAAATCATTTATCAAAAAGGTTTTTCAAGGTTAATCATTTACGAATAAACCAAGAGAGGGGCAAGTGAACATACAAATAGATTTAGCAAAATACATAAAATACAACATAGGAGGTCTGTGGGCAGGACCTACACACGTAAGCGCAAATGACAAACCTGTGTCTGTAATAAGAGATATTCAAACTAAAACATAGGTAACATAACATACGAGGAAGCTTAAAAGAACCCGATCGAGCATATTTGCCAAACTAAAATAATCAAATCAACACCTTCACAGTATATCCATTCACTATACCAAATTTTCAAATAGTATCAAGAAAATACAACATAGCGATAATGGGGGAGAAGCAAAGCCTGCAATACTTTAATCAAGCAAATTACCAAAAAGAGTACCACACAAGGCACATTCAAATTTCAATGCAAGTCACCCAAACGCTTTTACAAAAGGATTTAAGGGAAATGAAAAAATGAAGAAAAAAAATAGTCCAAAAAAACAAAAGTGAAGAAAACATAAATTGAAAAAGACATGAAACCAAGTTATAATATGCCCAGCATAATCAACCCTCAAGTTCCTTAAAATCAACTTTAAAAAGAGAATTTGATTCTAAAGGCAACAACTTCTTCCTTATCCACAAAATGAGAAAAAATAGGGAAAACTTGAAAAAAGTTAACCCTAGGAGAGAGAAAAAGCAAATTCCAAATGTTGGATTGAATCTCAAGATTCTCTCTCTCTCTCTCTCTCTCTCTCTCTCTCACACACACACACACACACACAGAGCATCACTGAAGCTTCAAACCATAGCAAGCAGAGCAAAATCCTTGAGGCAGTAAAAAGGTTCGTTCTTTCACAAATTTATGAGCAACCCATTTTTCAGAAACCAGAAATAAACAAAGAGAAAACAAACCTAAAACCAAAAACCCTAGGCCAAAGAGCAATTAGAGATAGCCTTCATAATCCCAAATCTTTATCAGCCATAGAAATAAATTGAAAACACAATTAACACAAAATCTTGAATATAGGAAATAAAAGTCAGACAAAAAATTAAAACAGAGACCCTATGATAAAATTCAACAAGATTAAGGGGTGTTGTCAAGTTTGACATACCTTCTTCATCGGGTTTCTTGCTTCCAAGCTCAAACAAAAATTTCAGTGTGGAACCTCTAAGGTCCCCTACCTACATCCTCCATTTATAGTGAACAATCACTACTAAATGCCCTCTTTCTTTCTTGTAATTACACTTCTACCACTGAGATATTAATTGTACGTACTTTGTTCTGTGTACACCCAACATTCTACTACCACCGACATTAATACTATTGTCCTATTCTATTTCGACAACGTAGATGCATCTATCTATCTATACCATATATGGTGTTGTTTGACAAGTAATTTTGAGATTAAAATAGTCACAAAAAATAAAATAAGTTATTTTAACTTTAACAAATAAAACATCACATTCAATTCATAATCATTACATTTTTCTTTCACAAAAAAAAGTTAAAAAAAGTCAAAAAACTCTTCCTAAACTAAGCTTTTTAACCCAAGTTAAAATAGCTAAAAATGTCAAAAAGTCAAAATGCCAACCCACTTTCCAAACGGAGGCATAGTAAAATGAGATTTTTAATCTCAAGACCCATGGGAGTTTCAATATCCTAATATGAATTTTTTAAATTTTTTATTTAAAAAAAAAAAAACTCATTATTTATTGATTTGATCAAAATCTCCTGATCAGCATTTATTAATTTTTTTCAATCCACATGTCTTTCCACATGCCTGCATTTATTGATTTGGTCAAAATTTTCTGATCAGCATTTAAAATCCTCTCAAACAAATAATTATAAATAAAATCCGTATATAGTTACTGCAGTACCCTTTTCAATTTCTCCCATACAATATGATTAGTGATAAGATTATTTAATTATTTTTATAAAAAATCTTAAAAACCATAATTTATATATTTAAAAAAATCTAAAACAAATATGAATATCTATAATTATCCTGTGCATAGCACAGGTGATATGTTAGTATAGTGTTATTCAGATGCATATAGTTTTTGTGTATAAGTATAATTATTCATATAAAATGTATGATATTAACCATTAAAAAAGAAAAATTACTCATAAATCTCATTTTGATAAATGTTGCTCTAGTTAGTCCTAAGTGTTTTTTCTTAAACCATTTAGTCCTTTTTATTTTTTGTATGATATATATTTTTGATATATTGTATAGAAAGTTTATATTTTTACCCACCATTGAACAAACATCATCAAAACATTGAGAACGTCAACATCATCATCATCAAACATCACCATTGAACATGTTCAAAAAAAAAACATCACCATTGAACAACATCACGACATCAACATCCGAACCCTTGCCTCACTGCGGCGGCCGCCACCAAGACCAAGAAGAAGAAGCCCCAAGCCATACCTCTCTTCGAGTTCGCCAAACCGGCTCAGACCACCCAAACCCGAGGCCTCACCGTCGAAGATCTCATGTTGTTGCCGATCGGTCCGCGCCAGAGAACCGCCGAGGAGCTCGACCGGTCCAAGCTCGGTGGTGGATTCAGATCGTACGGTTACGATAGGAATAGAGGCGATGAGGGTTCGAATTCTAGGTGGGGGTCTTCTAGGGTTTCGGATGAGTCGCGTCGACAAGGAGAAGGAGGGTTTAATAGGGATTTGAGTAAAGAATTAGCGCCTTCTTGTGCTGATGAGGTCGATGATTGGAGGTCTACGAAGAGGTCTATTTCTAGTAATGGGTTTGAGAGGAGAGGAGAGGAGAGAGAGGGGAGAGAGGGGGGTTTTTCGGGTCTGATTCTAGAGCTGATGAATCTGATAGTTGGGTTTTGAATAAGAGCTTTGTTCCTTCTGAAAGACAGAGATTTGAGAATCAGAGGGAGAGAATAGTGGGTTTCGAGTCAAATGGGGGCGCAGATTCGGAGAATTGGGTAAAAAAGAACGACGTTGATGATGTTTTTGATGATGTTCATAAGGGTTTAATATATATTTTTGATGATGTTCATAACATCATGATGTTCATAAGGGTTTAATATATATTTTTGATGATGTTCATAACGTCACTATATATATATATTTTTATATTTTTTCATAAGGGTTTAATAAGGACGTTGATTCGAGTAAAATTTTTATATTTATTGTTGCGGAGTAAAGTTGTCAAAACAGTGGGTGATAATCTGAAGGACGTTGATGATGTTGAAGATGTAGTTGATGTTGATGATGTTCACAAGTTTGTTGATGTTGTTGATATTCTCAATGTTTGATGATGTTTTTTGATGTTTGATGTTTGTTGATGCTTGATGATGCTGATGTTCTCAATGTTTTGATGATGTTTTTATGATGTTGCCGTTTTTTTATGATGTTTTTTTAGTAATGTTGGTGATGTAGTTGATGTTGTTGATGGTGATGATGTAGTTGATTTTGCTAATGTTCGGAAAGGAGAGAAATCTAAAAAAGGCCTATAGTAAACTTCTTGGGCAATTCGGTAAATTACACATAAACACCAATCCAAAATTACCCCTTCAATTACTGACCCAAACACGTAAAAAAATGAGTACTAATGTCTTTACACATAAAATAAGACCTATTAGTCCAACAAAAAAACGTCGGGACTAAATGGGTTAACATTCTCAAATTAGGAATTTAATGGTGCTTGCCCTAATGAAAAATATAATTTTATTTTTCATAATTATTCATAATTTTCATTATAAAAATTATAATTTTTATTAAAAAAATAGTATTTTGATAAAATGATTAAAAGTTAATTTTTTTTATTTTTTTTACTTTTTTTAAAAAACGTGTAAAAAATATGAGAGATGATGTGATGCAAAATAGATTAAAAATTAAAAAGTGACTTTTAATCTATTTTTCAAAAGAGGCCTGACTTAATGGGTGTGTTTGATTGGATGGACTGGATAAGGGGGATTAGAATCCATCGGATTTGAGTCCTGGGACTGTGAATCTCCCGGACTATTTGGTTAGATTGGATATGTATCATGTGTTTGTTTTTTCACGGAATTAGATGTCTGGAAAAGACTATTTTTAGTGAATCTAACGTTTGATTAGACGGATTGGATATGATAAATGAACAAAAGACTATTTTACCATTTTTTAATTGTTTACTAAGTAATAGCAATAATAAACATATCTTTAATATTTTAATTATTTTTAGCTAGATTAAATAAAAATTTATTTTATTTTATTTTTTACACAATTAAATAAATTTATTTTTTTAAAAATAAATAAATAAATAAATAAAATATCAATAACAATTTATATTATTTTTTTAATTAAAATTTTAAATAAATTTGTTTTTAAAAATAATAATAATTAAACAATGAAATTAAATAAAACATCTATTAACATTTAAATAATGAAATTAAATAAAATATAAACAAAATTTTAAAATAAAACATCAACAAAATATCCATAAAAAATTATTTAAAACTAAATAAATAAAACATCAATAAAAAGTTAAATAAAATTATTTTATTTTTAAATTGAGACATTTAAATTTTATTGAATTTTATTAAATATAATACATAATTAAATAGTAGAGGGACAAAATGATCATTTCACCACCTAATCCAAACAGTAAATAATCCCCCAAAATTATCCCACCTCCCTAGGATAATATAATCCCTTATACGGGGATAAGGAGTTCGGCTGGACTCCATATCCGGTGGATTAAAAAAAAATCAAACGACGGATAAGGTATTTGGATTACAATCCAAATAGTAGATAGTCCACCCTAATCCGGCGAATCAAACACGCCCAATATGTGTTATTTTTTTAAAATGCATATTATAACATTTTTTAAAGGGGGATGCACCAATAAATCCCAAATTAATAACTTATGCACTGTTTAGTCCTAAAAGTTTTCTTATAGACTGAAAGGTCCCATTACAATGTTAATAACATCAGATACAATGTTAATAACATCAGAGTCATGTTACAAACATTGGATTTCAAACATCTAATGTTCATCAAATTTCAATAATGTTTGAAAATATAGGATAAAAAACATCTAATGTTCATCAGATTTCAATAAATTTTGAAATTATAGAATGAAACATCAGATCATTTACATCATTCACATCATGTTGATGTAAAAATGGGACTAAATGGAACATAAGAAAACTTTTAAGACTAAATGGTTCAACGTTTCAAAAACTAGGACTTATGAGTAAATTTTCCTTTTTTAAACTCTAAATTAGAAGATGGATCAATTTTATTTAAAAAAAAAAAACTATAAGTAGTACTTGAGTTCTACTCTTATCGCTACAAGTATAATTTTCTACTCTTATTGCCCTAGTACTTGAGTCTACTCTTATCGTTATAAATATAATTTTCTTCTCTTATTGCCCTTCCCTCTGTTGACCAAAAACCTACCAATATCCACCCTATCTACCATTTTTAATTGCCTATAACAGTGCTGGGGACCCCACTGGGTGTGATTCCAAGCACCCCACCTCCACGTGGGTACCGTGATAGCAAGACAATAATAATTAATTTTTTTTTTTTTTTCCAATCAATGAAAAAATAATGGGGGTGGCGGGGTCATCTCACTGTGTTGGTGATGTAGTTGATGTTGTTGATGGTGATGATGTAGTTGATGTTGCTGATGTTCGGAAAGGAGGGAAATCTAAAAAAGGCCTATAGTAAGTTTCTTGGGCAATTCGGTAAATTATACAGTGTCACTGGGTCTGGGCATTTTCCCATTTTTAATTGCCATCCTATTTCTTCTTCCTTCTTCAATTTACACCCATCACCACCTCTTTCTCTCCCTGTTTGCCCTGCCCCCACACTCTTTACTTTTCCCGTCGCCTTTACATTCTAACAAAGATTAATTACACTCGTCATTCTTACTCTTTTATTAGTTTAGTGTCTGGTTTTAATTATAATAGTCAATTCTTATAATTTAACGTCGTGTAAATCATAAATTCATAAATTTAAATAGAAATTTATAAATAAATATATATTTAATCCATATTTGGCTCACATTCTTCTTTTTTTTCTTTTTAAATTCTAACTCAATTCATAATCTAAATATAGCTTAAATTAAATTATAATGTCATCCTTCTGTCATATGACTTTAATAAAGTTGACACCATTCTATAGTCAATAAAATATTACAAATAAGAGTACTGTTATATAAATAAAAAATTTATACATAATGATGTGACTCATTGTAAACCTTTCATTTTAAAACAAAACATCATTAAAAATGAATTTAT